ACCTTTGATCAGCATTTTGAAATACGTGTTAGATGTCCCATTTTTTATGGGGCTTCTGGAAGTGCTAGTGGCAGGCAGTTGTCAGCAGCAGTCCAGGTTCAAATAAAATGACACGCAGCCAGACCAGCACTGTAGTGAACATATCTAACCACAAAAGCATGGTAACTGTTTTGCTATCATTATTATCAATATTACTTTGAGTTTTTAAATTTTATTTCAATTTTTTAATCTACACTTTAGCTTGGTCCAAGCCTTGACTCTTATACCATGCTGCTGTGATGAAATGCCATGACTAAAAGCAACTTAAAGAAGAAAGAATTTATTTTGTCTTATAGTTCCAGAAGGATCAAATTCATCAGGGTAGGGAAGGCATGGTGACAGGCAGGGAAAGTATGGGGACAGGAGCAGAACGCTGGCTGGTCACATTTCTTCAACACACAGGAAGCAGAGTAAGAACAGGAAGTGGGGCAAGGCTATAAACCCTCAAAGCCTGCCCCCCCCCCCAATGATGTACTTCCTTTAACAAGGCTCCACCTCATAAAGGTTTCGTAATCTTTCCAAACAGCACATCAACAGGGAATGAAGTGGTCAAATGCATAAGCCTATGAGAATGACATTTCTCATTCAAACAACCACATTCCATTCTTGGCCCTCACATGCTCGTGACCATTCCAAGATGCAAAATGCATTTAGCCCAACTTCAAAAGTCCACATAGTTGTCTTCAGCGGTCACAACACTGTTCAAAAGTCCAAAGTCTTTTTGGAGACTCAAGACAATCTTTTCACTGTGGCCTCCTGTAAAATAAAATAAAAACAAATTATATACTTCCAACATAAAATGACACCAAATATACATTCCCATTCAAAAAAGGAAGAATGGGGGCACAATGAGGAAAGACTGGACTAGAATGAGACTGAAACCCATTGGGGAAAACACTAAGCCCTGTAGTTCCATGTCCAGAATCTGGCCTTCTGTTCCAAGGGCTTTGGTGTCTCTCTCCAGCTTTGCTGCTTGCAACATGCAGCTCTCTCTTTGACTGGCCCCACAACCTGTACGCGGCCCTCCTTGGCAGATTTCTCACATCTCTGGAATCCCCATCATGACCCAGACTTCGCCTCACTGCTGCACGCGGTGGTCTCTCAGGGTCTTCTTGCAGGTACTCTGACCCTGTCATATGTTCTCTGGACTCAGTAGCTCTCTGAAACCACAAAAGAAAAATATGTTACTTCTTCAGTCCTGCATTTTTCATTCCTCCGAAACCAGGACCAGGTGGACAAGATTCCCAGGTTTGGCTGCCCGGCTTGGCATAGACTCTGGCCCCCTTGGACCATCATTATAGCAGCTTCTGTATGCTGAAACTGGTGGAAAAATTCCCTAGGCAGCTGATTTCTTGGAGCAGGAGATCTCTTAGGCTCTCTCCTTTCAAGTGCCAGAACCTTAGCTGAGTGTGCTCTTGCCTTCATGCACCTGCACTGTTCTTATTGTTCCAATGCAAAGCAAGAGGTTTCTCTTTAATTTCGCTAATCTCTGTAACAATTATAGCCTCTTTTCCAGCATATCACTTGGATGTGACATTAAATTCCCTAGTGTTCTTTTCCTCTCCAAGCTGAACATTCGTTTCTTTCTGCCTCACTCGCTGTTTTTTTTTTCATTGTAGACTTGCATAATGTAATCAGTAATAACTATTCCACAGAGTCAGTGTTATACTGTCTTGGAATCTCCTCTGCAAAAAATTAAGGCTGTTACTTTTTAATTCAGCCGCATACAAGTTTTCTCAGGTCCTACACCTAGGTCCTGTGGCTTCCCCAGTTGGTGTCACCATTGGGAACTATTGCATCTTTCTCAGGTAGCCCCAGTCCCACTGAATCAAAGGCAGAAAAATGGGGGAGTTGCATCTGTCAGAAAAGCCAACAGAGGTGGGATCACTTTCTCCTCTTTCCGGGTATGTTTATCATATACCTGTTGAAAACTGGCACTATGCTGGCCACTAAGGTCCTGTAGTGAAGCCACCCATCCCAGCCCTGAAGACTAAGCTCTGGGGTAGAGGAGCAACCAGTTACTTCAATGTGAGCAGCAAGGGGGCTGCAGATCACAGTCAGCTACCAAACAGAAAAAGTGTAGGCTTCCAGGACAAGCAACATGTAAACAGGTTTGGTAGCATGAGGGCATAGTATCCTAGGGAGGGTGAGGTACTGTGTTTCAGGCAGAGAGTATACAACATGGGCAGAGTTTCTGAGTCTAAGGAGGCTGAGCACTGTTCAGTCAAAAAAAAAGCATTCATTTATGACTGGAAGGAAACCTGTGTGCTAGAGTGTGGGACACAGTAAGCTCCTACAGGGACCAGACCTCAAAAGTCCTATAAACAAGCACTACTAGGCATGGCTTGAACTTGGGAGCTGTGTTGGAATTTTAAGTAGGGAAGTAATGAGACCAGAATGTCCTTGAGAAGGTCATCTTGGAACAGTGTGGAGAAAGACTGGCAGAATTTATGGAAGCCAAGAGCCTGGGCAGGATATTTGATGATAATACAGAATGAACTGGCAACCTGAATTGAGAAAGAGGCTATGTTGATGCAGAGAATTGGAGAGGTGCAAAAGGGGCCATCATATGAAAGTGGGCAGGATTTGGTTGTTACCATTCAGGAAAGGAAGTGAAGCAAGATAAAATATTTTTTCAGGCATTGGGGATGTAACCCAGGGCCTCATGAATACCACTGCTGCAGCCTGGGTTCTTGAATGGGCAAATGGGTCATCAGAGGGTCAGAGGTTCTCTGTACCCAGCTGAGAATACCCAAAGTGCTGTACTGTGAGAATAGAAAGCTCTAGAAGCTGGGAGAGAAGGTCTCTAGAGTTCTCTATCTGGTATGGTATCTGTAGTGTGCTATCTATATCTATCTATAATGACTTTTCGTGGGTTGCCTGGTCACTGTGACTGAGCTAATATGTGGCTTCCTTTAGTCCGTTGAGGGCTAAAGATGAGAATCGCCTGGAATGCGTTTAAAAAAAATCCTATGGTAGATGCCATACTCCAGGCCCCCTAGTCAGCATCTTCAAGGTGGAGCAGACATCAGTGATTAGAAATTCTTTGGCATCCCCAGTCATTGGCCAATGATGTAATGGCTTCTAACTAATGACTTGCCCTTAAGAAGTAGCATGTGTATGTTTGTGGAGGCCTACCAAACTTGGGAGGCCTTTTCAGAAAGACTGTGGGAGCTAATTAATTTGGAGTTTGTGATATCTGGAGAAGACTGGTTATCAGACTGGTACCATTTGTGTTTTCTGAGAAATAAAACTTTAAATGCTTTAATTCAGCAAGGGCCTCGTGTGGTGTGCCAGTCGCAGAGACCCCTTCGGGCTGCTTCATCTCTTTTCTGTTGGCAAATTGATTGTTACGTAGAAATTTCGCCATTCAAGCCCACTCTCTTTGTTGGGGTACAATTAATCATAATTTAAACATTGATTTGTTTGCATTTATATGACAGTGTTTCAGAACAGCACACTTTAATGCACAGTACAGTCTAATACCATAGATACTGTCTTTCTTGCTAGATTGGTTCTGTTTAGTACATGGGAGTCACTGTACCTTAGAATGGGAGTGTGTCCTTTAAATAGAAACGTTTTTGCAAGTCAAGTTTCCAAGTCACATTGAATGGTTTCTTCATACCCGAGACTAACCAAATTGTGTGCACAGAAAATATTTTGCAATTATCTTCCTGGTTATGATTGGTCTACCTTTACTTGAGTCTAATTGGTAAATTTCAAATGTACAGAAAGTCGTATTATTGAAAATTTAAACATATAGTAATTTCCATAAAACTTATTATTCAGCTCTGGATCCTGGAACATCTCACTGCCATAAAGCTCTAGAAGTGGATGTGAGGTCTGTTTTTCATTCATTAATTCTGAGTACCAGATATGCCATACATTGGCATCATTGTTGTAAAGCACTGAGAGCATCCTTTAAGGTAGGTACCAGTGATACTGTTTTATGAATAAGGAGCCTGACTCAAAGAAGCCCAGTGTGTTATCTAAGGCCACACAGCTGGCAAATGCTAGAACAGGAATTAGAACCATATCTGCTTCAAAGCCCACCCTAGTGCCTGAGGCTTTTGACTCCATGCTACTGGCATCTCCCCTTCTTAGACATTGAGAAGACTTCCTTTGGTTAGCTCAGACAACTTTACTGAGCACAAGGTAGGGGTGGATTTGGTCTAGGGAAACACCCCTTGCTTAGTTTGAGTATATATGAAGCATCCTGCCACCATCCATTTCCCCAGGATGTACACTTGTGCAAGAGCAAGGTTAGGGCACAGTTTTGAGAAGAAACCTCAGACTCACCTTTTCTGGTTGGGTAAAAGAATGTTATTGAAGCCCTCTCTCCATCCTAATTTGGATGGCCTGACAGAGACAGTAAGGCCCTGAGATGGGAGATGCTCTCTGTGGGGTTTTGATCCTTTAATCAGCTGGAGGACCCATCCAGTCCTGCATATTTCACCTGTCTCCTAAGCCCATAGGTCCATGTCTGTCACGCGTCTGTGGTCCCCTCCAGTGATTCTGGGGCTTCAGGGCACATAATGCTTATGCAGAAAAACAGAAGTTTTATTAGTTTTGGTCATTGATGTCATCTTGGGACTTCTATTGAATTTTTCCCTGTGGACTGATGGATGGCACAGGCATACATTCTCAGATGGTAAAGGTGGCTGTGTGTCTGTTTCTTCAGATTTTGCCAGCTATTAGGCAGCAGGCAGAGATGACTGAGACACTGAAATTTCCCCCTTTCATTCGTTCTACCCCATCACAGCAAGTCTTTTCCCCATGGGCTCTGCGAGTGAAGGACATTTGCTAAGGCATGATGGTAGGTGTCTTAAGAGAAGATTCCTGGCTGTGACCTTTCTAATGCTTTAAACTTTTGATGCAATTATCAAAAATGTATACATGCTTTCCTGTTGTTTGATGTGATTCTTTTATTTTTTTCCCATTTATAATGCTTTCGTATTCAGGAAGTTGAGGTAGGTTTTGACTTTTCAAACATTATGTAGATGTAGCATCAAAATAGTTGCCAAATAAAATGTAAATTGTATCTTAAATCTTTAATCTCCATAGTAAATGTTTGTTTTTGTTCAGTAAACCAGGACCACACACATTTGTTTTTTGTTGGTATATCCAAAGGGTGTAATTTATCAAATGTATATAAACAGTCCATTTGATGCTTTATCCCTTCTCATTAGTTACAGTACAAGTACGATTGTCAGTTATTATCTGTATTTTACTGGTGGGTTATTTATTGAAAGAGGAGAAAAACCAACATTGTTATTTTCTAAATCATTTTGTCCAAAGCCTGTAGGACTTCACAACAAATGTCAGACCAATTTATCAAAGAATCTCTCTATTCAGGATGAAAGTGATTTAGAGTGTGTGTACAAATATCCACCCACCTGGGCTTACACACACCAGTAATAGTTACAGGAATTTCACAGGGCCTGCAGAGATCTTAAAACTGGAACAGCTTACTTATATTTGAAGCAGTTCAGCAAGGATTTATTGTGTGCTGCTGAGTGATACTTTAGGGACTATGCAGGTGAGTAACACTGTCCCTGCACGTTGAAATGCATCAGTACACACAGCTCCTGCCCCTGGTTAGTAGAAGTCCCATGAGTGATTTTTGGGATACATCAATTCAGTGCCCAGTCTGGGCCAGGTGGTGGGGCCCGTCCATTCAGGATTCTTGCTGGGTCTCTACCCCAGGGTTGGGGAAGGACATGCCTGGCAGAGTAGAGAATAAAAGCAGGCTGCTTGTTCAGAGGTGTGGACTGACACATTTCTGGGGTGAGATGGCTACATGGGAGGTTAGTCCTTTTCCTAATAAATGAACTGGTTTGCTCCATACAGTAGACTGATTAGCAAGAATCCCCATTGTACAAAAAAATTACAGTAAAGTCATATTATATAGTAGAGTCCCTTATAAAGCCTGGTCTAGAAATCTCACTTTTCTGCTGACTTTTTTTTTTAATCATTTTAGAGAAACCGTCTAGCCAGCAACTAACCCTTTTCCCTATTCTACCTAGCCAAATGCCATGAAAGTGAAGTCACTAATTTGTGTTGAATCACAAAGTTTGGCTATAATCCTTTTCTGGATCTTTTTAAGGGTCTGCACTTGGCAGAGCTGGCCTCTATCCAGGATTGACAAGTCCAGACATGAGATTTCTCTATACCACAGGGACAAATTTCCCTCCATCCATTGGCAGTGGGCCACAGAAGACCCCACAATGACTGGCTTGCCCTGGTTGCAGCTTGCTTCCTCTGCTCATGGCTTTCTTGCTCACCCCTGGTCAAGACAAATGAGGTCCCCATTTATTTTCCAGGCTGGTAATTTGTATTATCTCAGGTAATCTTCAGATGGATCTGCAGGGTTCAAACAGTTTAGCTAAAATATGTATGAGGGAGAAATTATCTGATTAATGTGAGCTCAGTGTCTTTGATCTGTGGCATCTGAAGCTGTGGTGTGTAATAGACTATCATCCTCACATTTGGCAGCCATAGAACTTGGGTTTCCAGCATGGCTTGTGCTAGGTTCTGCCCCCAGCTCTTCCCCAGAGTTGGCTCTAACAAGCTTCACAGCTGAAATAGGAACCTCTTGAAAGGGAAATCTGTGGGGAACATTTGACCTAAATTATTTCAGCCATTTTGGGGCTGTGGCCCAGGGGAAGAAAATTCATACTCCCATTCACAATGGGCTAGAGCGGTTGATTTTGCCATTGGATATACTCATCCACAGGGAAGGGCCTTAATCACCCACATGATAGCAGATATTTTGGAATCATTTCATGTTAGATTTCTAGACTGCATAAAGATTTCTTTGGAAAATGCATTGTAGCGTGAGATGCTCTTGGCCTATCAGTTGCTTGTAGGACTGGCTCCAGGCGCCTCCCCCAACCCCCAAAGAAACCAGGATCTGTGGGTGCTGAAATAAAATTGTATAGTGCTTGCATAGAACCTGATCACATCCTCTCATATACTTTAAATTGCCTCTAGATCAGTGATTATATAATCAAATAATTTTGATCCTTGCTTAAATCTGTAAAAGTGGGACCTACAGACACAGAGAGCTGACTGTGTTCATATATATCATCACAAATGTTAACATTACCTATGAACACATATGCACGTATTAATATTTATAATATGCACTATGTGCTGTATATACATACATTTATACATGTTTATAGATAAGGTTATATAAGACACAGATAGATAGATGATAGATACATTTATGTATAAACAGATTTTCTTTCCCACAGATGCTGGTCACAACAGAGTCTCTCTAATACAGTTGAAAACCCAAAGCTAATTCCTTTGCACCCACTATTGGAAGCTAATAATTTTATAGCACCCAGGGCAGTGTTTCTGGAGATATTTAGTTAATGGGAGAAATGAAGAAATATGATTTTTTTCTATGTTACCCAGTTATAAAGGATCAAAATTACTATAGTTGTGGTTCTATTGGACTCTGATTCTTTCTTTGCTCTGCCCATTCTCTGTCCTCATCCTAGACATACAATAATTCCTCACTCTCTTACTGTGACTGTTAGCTGGCTCTTTGATGATGCCCTGGAATCCATCATGATTGCAGCCATCAGTCAGTATACTCAAACCTGAACTTCTGTTAAAATCGTTAGCTTTTTGAAATGTTTAACTCTAAGTCCCTAAAAATGAATTGGGTGTCACTTATGAAGTACATAGCGAAATCGGTCTTTCTTCATAAGAACTTGCTAGAATTTAGAACAAGACTATGTGCTGTCCTGTCCAATAGGGGCCTGACATCCTCTACACTGCAGACCATAGAATACATACATGATGCAATGCTGCCTTCAAATTTGCTCAGTCTGGATAACATAATGGGAGTGATTGAGTTTAGTTAATGACTATATTTAGATATGTATCTTTCTAGTTAGGTTGATGTTTTAGAATTAACTCTATCCAGGAGCTGGAGTGATGATTTAGTGGTTTAAGAGCAAAGGCTGCTCTTGCAGAAGACCTAAGTTCAGTTCCCAGCACCCATATGGCAGCTCACAATTGTCTGTGCCTCTATCTTCAGGGCATCTAGTACCCTATTCTGGCCTCTGGGAGCACCAGGCACATACCATGGCGCAAGTACATATATGTAGGCAAACACTCACACAACATAACATAAAATGGAATAAATATTTTTAAAATTAAACGAACGGTTTCTGGATCCTTACAAGTCTTTTTAAAGAACATCTTTAGGTAATAAAATTTCCAGTCAAGAAGTCAACTCAGACACCTGACAGCTTTCATCTGTCCAGTATGCCTTTCACCTCCACCTTAATTTCAACAGGCCTCAACATTTGGGGCTAGAAAGGAGGTCAGAAGTGAGGGATTTTTAGGATCCAGGGCTCTGCTAGCATCTTAATTGGCCTGTGAGGTCCTGGCAGTGGATTATACTTTCATATGATGCAGCACTAGGGTGGCATGGGGATGAGCACACAGCTTTTAAATGGGAATGACTGGAGATCATAGCAGCACACATGTTCCATATGTTCTCATTCAGATACAAAATAAGAAAATCCTGGCAGGTATAAACTGGGTGTTGGGTTTTGGCGAAGTGACCAGCACTGACATTGTTGGAATGATGGTTCTGGACCAAAGACAGCTGTCCTTAAGTCTCTTCTTGAGGGTTCTGGTGGTCAGTTAGGTGGGATCCAGGGATGAGCAGATTCCTGGATGAAGTCTGGAGGCAGCATTCTTTCATTCTGGGCTTTTTGCACATTACAGATTCTACATCATCAGAATTTCTCCTAGAATCAGAGGGGATTGACTGAAGGAGCCCAGCCTCTGTTGGCTTCTGTAGGGCGGCTCGTGTATGTCAGACAGTACATATATACAGATGCTCGTGTATGCATCTCATCCTCTGGGAACAGACGTGATAGCTAGGCAGCCCCTCCCCAGTCCCCACTGGCCATCCTCCAAATGGGTGGTGCTGCATGAAATACTTCCCAGAATTCACGGTCTTGGTCCCTGGTGCAAGGTTTTCCACCAGATATAGTCGGAGTCTTGATACTCAGAGCATTATCAGGCCTCGGCTCCTTGGCCTGTTCTTTGACATTCTATTTCCCCAGAGCAGAGCAAAAGCAATCAGATGCTGGGAACAATTTTCCATCCCTGCTTGGCCTTGCCAGGCAAGGGGCTCCTTGAAGGACTTATTTTGCATAATGAGTTTTCATTCAAGGTGTGCTTTTACATTTTGCAGTAATTAGGCAGTATTATTACATTTGCAGTGGGTTTTAAATATTCTGATGCAGATATCTGCTTTTAAAGGCTTTATATTTAAAGCCGTGCTTTCCTCTTAGACAAAATATGTAAAAATAGCAATTATAGTTAACCTGCAAACTGACAAGGTCCAGAAGAATGTTTCAGACGCCATTCAGGTTCTAAAGTATGCTGAAATCATTAGGGAATATTCTGTTCTTGAGACTTGTTCCAATTTTTCTTTGACATCAAAGAGAATGTGACATGTGAAATTAAAGTAAAGGAACTTGACTGAGACTCCAGCTCTTCCCTGTGGGACATACACCCTGAGCTTCCAAGAACAACAATAACATGTTCAAGTAAAAGATATACCAGAGGAGTCCTTATTGCTGTCGAACTGGATGCCATTCGCTGCATAAGGAGTATATCCCCTGGGAGTCTGGATACTTGTTACCTTTGTCCTCTGGTGGTAAGGGTCAGTCCCTCTTGGGTTCTCTTGCTGTCATGAATAATAGAACCTTCTGGCAATAGGGCTGCCTAAGGCTGAGAGTATATCGACCATCAGATCGAAAAGTCAAGTGCTAAATTTCCTACCTACCTTCCAACTCTTACTTAAGATCATTTGGTTCTGGATTCCAAGTTTTAGACAGTATGCCCAAATATTTAAATGCTGTTTAAAATATTAGAGAGAGATGGTGCCAAGGGATTATTCTAGATTTTCTCAATGATTGCTCATGGTATAGATCTAAGAGCCAGTCAGGCAAGCAGGTCAATTGTGCCATAAAATTAAAGCTGGGACCAAATGGACCAATTCCTTAGAGTTAAAAATAGCTTAGTGCTGAATCTCCAGGTTCCAGGCAAAGCCATTCATGTTTATTCATACCCTTCACTAGGCAAAAAGCAATATGTTCTGATTTAACTGTAAGTCCAGTTTCCTAAAATCTATTTAAGGGCTTAGGTGAACTCAACAAGGATCTAATAAAGCCAGGTAATTGAATGAGGAGGAGGCCAATGAAAATCGCAGGAGATTGGGTAGGAGATAAACTACAGCAGGAGACAGCATGGACAGTAATTTAAACTAATTGTACACTTTGATGTAAAATAACTTCTCCAGAAGAGAAATTGAGAGCTCATTTCAGACAGCTTTTTGAAGGTGTCTATAGTATGTGGCATACTTGCCAGAACTTATAGAGCTAATAAGCTAGATTTCAACTACAGGGGGCAAATGCCCTAGAGATGATATAGGGGTGGCTGGGAAGGGTACAGCCTCTTCACCTGGCAAATGGTAAGCTGGGGGATGGGGAGGCCAATGGGTATAGATGGAAAAAATCCAGTGGGTGGATAGTGCTTGTTTGGAAGGAAGCATTGTTGGCAATAGGAAAGAGGTGTTACTACAACCCTGAAAGGACCTAGTGACATCATTTCTGGCAATTTCAAGGCAATGAAGTACTCAGCCTTGGAGCATAAGTCGATGTGCACTGCATGCAGGAGAGGCATGGTTATTAATGGAGCAGAAAAGCCTTTGCTTTCCTGTCTTTCCATACCCGAAACAGGTGGCATTAAGTTAAATACATACCCATGGGTCATTCTAGCATTTGAATGAGTCTCTCTGTTTTTAGTCATTGTAAGTGTTGGAAAACTGGAACTGTGCATCACAAGATATGTATCTCCATGTAAAAGAAATGTTGACAGTTAAATTATCAGCTGTAAAAAACACAGAGGCTTAATCAGAAGTGAGAGCAGCTAGGTATCACCTATAGTATAATTGATAGCAAATACACCTTGTGCTTAGGAGGTGCCTAGGCTTACATGTCAAATCAAGATGAGCAGCACTGCTTCCATATTGGGCTGAAATGTTTTCATAACTGCTAGTGTTTAATACATGCAGTTTGAAAGACAAGAATTTGAGAAGTAAATTGATGTATTTGATTTCATGTTAATGTCTGTTTGGGAGAAGATTTGTAAGCTGAGTGTTTTCCTTTGTGTTTTGGGAAATGGGGAGAAGGAAAGGTGTTATTCAGCACTGTGCCTCCTGAGATCTGACCTTTGTTTTCTGTTTTCTTTTTGTAGGATGATTATTTCAGAAACTGGAATCCCAACAAACCCTTTGACCAAGGTAAAGGATGTGCCATTTCTTTCTGGACACACTGTGTGAAATGCTGTCTCATTTTTTCCTTCTTTGCATGCAGTTAATGTCTTACAGAGGCTTACTAGCAATTTTATTTTATTGACTTCAGGGCCTGAATTAAGTGGGATGGTATAAATGATTTTATCCATTTGGAATTTGTCTAAGGTTATTTCTAGACAGATTTAAATTTAAAAAATTGAATTGACCAGTACAGTTATTGATTTGTTTTGTTAAAAGACTCAGTGAGGTGATTATCAAACTTGTGAATAGTGGTGTGGTAAACCCAGTAGTTTTATTCATAGAAGGAACTGTTCCTAGAGATTGCCCCCATTCAGTAAGAAAACAGGATAATCCTAGGAGATTTTCAAAGGCCCTTGAAATCATTCATTAAATGTCTTGCTCATGGTTTCTATATTTACAACAATTTCTTCATTTACTTTGTGTGTGTGTGTGTGTGTGTGTGTGTGTGTGTGTGTGTAGGTTAAGGGACAACTTTCAGGAGTCAGCTGCCTCCTTCTACTATGTGGAATTAGGTGATTAAACTCAGGTCCTCAGGCTTTGTGGCAAGTGTCTATCCACTGAGCCATCTTTCTGGCACCATCCTTCATGGCTTCCAGATAGGAGCCATAGGGAGGACCCGCTGTGACTCATGTCCCCGTTCCTGTTGTTTCATGAGTGGCTGCTCTTGGCACAGTCCTCGCTGCTGAAAATGGTGGCAGATTGTACTCAAAGTGTTCATTTGCAATTAAAGCTATACCTCAGAGAAGACACATCACCTATCATGTATCCCATGGTTCTGATTCCAAGTATTGGCTTCAGATCTACAGCCTGGGTATTCCATATGCTTACAGAGGGTAGCCCAAAGGGAGGCACTGGCATGTGGTGTGGCGGAGGGTGCCTCTTCTACAGGCTGCATTTTCACTTTAGTAAGTCTCTTCCTTTGGACTTTGGTTTTTCTTATCAGCAAACTGATATTTGAATTTTCATAAGCACAGCTATCTAAAGCCTTGAAGTTGTACAACAATTTGTTCACTCTTGTGTGCTTGCTTTGCTTTCACCCATCCATGAATGCTTGAACAATTATTGGGCCCCCACTGTTTGCATAAGTTTACCAAGTAAAGGCAAAAGAACTGTGATTCCTGTCCCCCAAAGCAGCTCAAAGTGAGGAGCGTGAAAGCAGCCCATGAGTTCATGTGGGAAACAGGTATGGATGTGTGGAGGACTGGTGAGTACAATGTGGGTATGTACGTGTGAGGGAAAGGTGCAGTGTATGCAGGCAGCTTGCCTGTGGAGGCTCTGTCTGTGCGGTATATATGGAGGTCTTGCTCCTTTACAATCCTGACAATGACTAAATCATCACAGTAATTCACATTAACATATGTGAAGGTGTTAGTCATTTAGGTTAAGCATTTCCTTAACTTCTCAAATGTTTTAAAAGACTAGATCTTCATTTATGAAGGGTACTCAAAAACACAGAATGATAGCCCTGCCTGTGTGATGGGTGAGCCTCCTGCACACATCTACTCCAGGCTCTTGTTAGTTACAATGACTCAGCTGAGAGTTACCCTGAGCTGGGGTTTTATGCTAAGAACTAGAAATAGGTTCTTGTCATCTAAGGATCTAGTAACCACAGATATACTCCCACCCAAGACTAGCAAACAAAAGGAAATATCAGGGAAGAGGTTGTTATTTTTACTAATGCACATGAGAGAAGAGAACACTTAAAGGCAGGCATCATTTGTCATTTGGATACATAAATGGTTACTTCCCTTGGTGTGATATTTACACGGGGACTTTGAGTCCCCAAAGAACACGGTATTTAAATCTGTTTAGGCAAAAAATCCAGACAAGGGTTCTGTTTTCTTTGGAGTGATGGCCACCGCTCTGAGAAGAGCCCACCCTGCTCTCTTTTTCTACCTCTGCAGATTTTGGAACTTAGGTCTGCTGAGATGAATCCTCCCAAAATACCTCATGACGTTAGAGGATACAACTGAGAGCCATGGATGAGTAGCCCCGCTGGGTGTCTCTGGGGTGGCTGCCATGGCTATTTCTATACAGAGCCAGGGGAGAGTGGGTGAGCTGAGAATAGCCTTCATTTCAAATCCCAGCCCCAGCAGATGTCATCAATTACACTGTGTGCTGCTCAATAAAAATGGGTGGTTACTGCATCAGCACTGACAGCTCATGGTAAAATAGAAACCACAACCACAGATGATGTGGGGTGTTTCATCTTCTGAAAAGTAGGAGAATTACTGAACTGCAGTGGAAGTTGTCAGATACATGAAGTCATTTCCCTTTCTACCTTGAGAGAGAATCAAAGGTGAGTGTGAGGAGATAGCTCTGTGGGTAAGTGCTTGCTGTCTGAGTATGAATTCCTGAGTTTGGATCCTCAGAACCCACATACTAAACCACCCACATGCTGTAATCTCTGAGCTTCCGAGGCAACGTGAGAGGTGGAGGCAGAAGAGTCCTAGAAGCCCAAGGGCCAGCTAGCCAGGTGGACACAGGGCCAAGCAAGAGAGGCTCTGCCTCAAGTAAGGTAGAAAGTAAGGACCTAACTGGACTTCATTGTACATACTATATTATATGGATGCCTGCAGTTACACAAATATAAACATATGCCCCCTATACACATACCCCACACTCCCCCCTCACAGAGAGAGACATATTAAAAAAAAAAAAGAATCACGGGTGGGTTGCTTTGCACAAACAGAACTCGATGAGAATTCCATTTAGAGTTTCAGGTGATAAATCTGGGCTGGACAGAGAGCTGAAGGAGCTTCATGATGGAGATGTTGAGGAGTGGGCTTCAGATGTAGGCCAGATAAGTCCAGCATAGTGCAGTCAGAAAGGAGACGTGAGGCAGGTTGTAAAAGTCATCCCGTACCAACACGCCAAGTTTACTTTGTGTTCTTGGCAGCGTGGAGCATAGATAGAGTTTGAGCAGGGGCAACCTGCTGAGGAAGTAGCATTTCAGAGATTTTGCTTGGTGATCAAGAGCACAGACATCCTTGTAAATGATGTTGCTCCTACGGGACTCTGGGACTCCCCCACATCATCATTCATTACCTCAGAACCTTGGGCTCTGGCTGTCACAGATGACCAGCTGTATCAGTTCAACTGCTGAAATGCCTGGTAGCTTCTGATTGTTTCTAGTGTTGTGAACAGTCAGGGAATGGTAGTCCAGAAAAGGTAGCTGAGGCGCAATGACTCTGCTTGAAGATACTCACGGAACTTTGAAGGCAGGGCTCCAGGGAGCTGGTGCTCAGCATAGTATCGTGGACTCCAGGCCACTTAGGAGAGGAGTGCTTGCCTTTTCTCTAAAGCTAGACCCAGAATGCCTTTCTCTCTTCTTTTTAAGCAAGCAATTAATGTTCCCTCAGAGAGTATAATAGCTGTCAACCTCAGCCTCTCAGGAGGATTTTTTTCTTAGATTAGAGGAAAGAAGCACATTCTTTTCTCTAATAATGATTTAATGCAGAGAGATGGACAGGAGTTCAGACTTGAAGGGAGCAGTTATTAACTCAAGTGAAATATTTCCTTTGTGAAGTCCCCAAAGAAAGATGCCCTATGAGAATTCTGGGCAAGATGTAGGAAGGGTTGCATGCACATGCCAATGGACTTCCATCATGTATGGGCAGGAGACATGACACCCATGAGTTGTCACTTAGATCTGCTGCTTTGCCTTGTGTTGTGTGACTTTTCCTGGGACATGAAAAAATGGTCTATTCACTCTATATGGGGCAACCAGAACAGATCAAAGAAAACAATCTCAACTCAAGCTAAGGTAAACCAATAAGTGTATTTTACTTACTTATAGAGTCATGGGTAAGGTCATTACAGGAACATGGTGACTCTTGGACAGCTGTATCTCCTCCAAACTCCATCCCAGAATGGGTGACAACTCATGAAAGCTATATCCCTAGAGCTCCTTGTTCAACTTGTAGGCATCTCCACCAAAGAGTCTCCGTGGAAGATGTCTTCCTTTCTCCAGAAGGAATATTTCAATTCCTACACGATAAATATAGAACTCCCTGGTATAGTACTCTCCTCCACCACCAGAGCCAACCTCAGAACACAAAGAAGCTAGAGCTTCTCCAAGTGGGATTGTTACCATGAGGAGAGAAGAGCCCGGCGGGCATAAATTGAGATTTCTGGCTTCTTGTGTCCTGGAACAAGACATTAAATAGGGACTTGTAAGTAGCAGACAAAGGAGGGACAATTAAAGAAGACAACACAGCTAAGGGAGGAAGTGAGCCAGAGCTAGACAAAGAGTTGGGACTTTTATATCCCAGGATCTTGGGCTTTGGGGTCGTGGGCATAGTGTTACTTTCTTGTGCATACTCCACCTGTCACATGCTACCTAGGTGAGGAGGCGCTCCTACTCCTCCTCTCTTCCCACTGGTTTATTTTATGTGCTGGAGGAAAAGAGGAGGGAATGAGAAAGATCAGCTCCTTCCTGAAAAAAACACTTGCCAAGCACCCCTCAAAGCTCAGCAGCTGTACTATGATCAATAGTAATACTGAAAAATGGCTTTGATACAATGGCATTAGTAAGTGCTTGGCAAGAGCTCGTTTACTGGCAGTTGATCTTTGTCATGTCCTCCTCTTCCCCTCTTGCTGTCCTTCCTGTGCTCGTCTCCCTTCCCACCCAGGTTTTCTTTCTTTCTGCTTTGCTCACTTCTGCTTGAAGCTCTCAAGGCTGGATGGACACTAGCTTGTCTCCCTCCACATGAGCCACAGTGGTGATACCTCCGGGGTCCCTGTACTAGAGTTGAAGAAGTTCAGGTTCTGAATTCATTCATTCATCCCATAAATGGCCCCCAACACGTTTAATGCTGGTAATAAGGACATAACTATGAAAGACCACTCTCGTGGGATATTTCCAGATGCAAGTCCTGGAATCCACCCGTCACACAGCTGTGGAGTGTGTATGAGCGTTGGTTGATGGGAGCAGTGAGCATGAAAAGCACTGCTGTGGATGGAAG